CTTTTTGAGTATAGTATCTTCAAAGGGTTTGTTTATTTGACTTGTGAAAGTTAATATTATTGCACAGATTGAGATTATTATTTACAAATCTGTGGTTTTTTAGGGGAAGAACGACTTCTTTTACTTCAAAATTAGGCCATCCATAAAATTGGAGAATAAAAAAAAAGTAACTTTTTTAATTTTTTTTGTTGGACGTTAAAAATACTATTTTGAGAACATTATTTCTGAAACAAGTCGAGTAGTTAAGAGGGCGCTTGGCTTGGGATTAATGATTAAAAAGAAAAGGTATTTTGGATTTTTTTAAAAACAAATTTTTTTTTTGATGATGAAGTCTTGTTTGGATATTGATTTTCTAAAGCTATTTTTGTTGGTTGAAAATAAAGGTAGGATTTAGGAATAAATGCAATTTTCTAAACTAACCCTAAAAGCATATTCAATATAAACCACACCCTAAAAAAGACTTAAAAGATTTTACTTTATAGTAGTTAAAAAGAAAAAAAGATAACATTTTATAATATGGTGGGTAGTGGAAGATGAGAAAAACATATAAAAAAATTTATCAATGACTTATCTCTTATAATTTATCAACGATAAAATCGTAAGGTATCTTGATTTTGATTGATTGATTAAAGTTTAGAAGGTATATGGTGTGAGAATTAATGATGGAAAAGACATTGAATGTTTTTAGGAATATGAAATAAAATTTATCCTTTTTTTCTTAGAAATATGGTACGAAATTTTTAGCACTGAATGATGATGATATATACAGTTTCAAAAGAACTAAGAAAATAATTTATTCTATATACTTGTTTAAAGTGGTTAAAGTTTGCAATTCTTTTCTTTTTGTTATGGATTCAAATCAAGCACCTTCACCGACTAGGACAAGTGTATTCAGGCTTCAACTCAGGCACCTCGAAAATGAGGAGGGAGCAGAGTAGAGCTCAGCTTGACTTCGACTTAGAGAGCATTCTAACTGGCTTCAAATTGCTAGTAAAAGATCTTGTCAGCTAATGATAGGTACGATTGTCGTTGTGATAGAGCTATGATTCTCAATGTCCTCTGGTATAAAAGGAAATCTCACATTCTCAAAAGTACGTGATCTCTTGCAAGTTAAGTTTTAGAGTGTACGTATAGTCAAGCACCACACCAATATAAGGTTATGTTTACAAGTACCGGCAGAACCTATGTCAGAATCCACACTAGACAACCTAATGGCGTGTCACCTCTGACAGAATTGTACATTAACACTAGTAATTTTAAAAATTTTGCGATTGTTTTCTAACAATTATGATAGAAAACTAAATGAAAAAAAAATCAAATATATCGTTTAACATCTCCAACTAGTTTAATTGAACAATCAAATTATACACATTGATTCAAAATCTTCAAAATAAAAAAATATATATATATTTTGGAATCCCACATAAAACCCATATGGCCATATAGGGGTCCAATTGTCCATCTCATGGGCAATTTTGTCAAATGATGCTTTGAAATTGAAGAAGCTTTTAGAACAAGTTTTCACAAAAAGTTGCCACCACTTCCAAGTGTTAGTCCATTTCACAAACCACATTTTTTTTTATTCTTATTATTTTTTCCAAAACAGTTTCAACACTTCTTTTTATTATTATTATTATCATTATCTTATATAGTTTTTAGATTTTAAAAATCTCAATAAAAACTCCTTTTGGACCCAAAAAAAAAAAAATTACACTATATATCTATCTTCCAAATTTTACTAATGTAACATTAAAAAAAAGCATTTTTTTAATGACTAAATTCTAAAATCAACTTTAAAATGCATTAAATTTTACAATCATCAGTTACATAATCCGGAAGAATCTTTCTTTTTCCCGTTGTGTCGCCTGTAATCTCCAAATTGGAATTCTTAAACCTACTTAGAACACGCTTATCCCGATTCTGCTTCTGATTACATCGTGGATTTTGCACATTGGCCTCATCACTCCCGCTGCCACTGAACCCAAAAATCAGATCAAAATTTAATTCTTTTGCCCATTTAATATTCAACGGACAGTAGAAAAAGTTGCAGAAGGAATTGAGCCAGTGAGCATTCCATTGGATCTCCATTTGTTGGTGGACAAACTTTTGTTTTAAATCCCCCAAGTGGGGTTTCTTTCTTTATTCTCGACTTCCCCTTTACCCCTTCTCTTTAATCCCTTTGCTTGTCTTCAACGTTGCGTTGGGTTGCCCAACAACACCCATCCATTCCAATTCAGTTCGGGAAATTTCTTCTGTAGTTTGAGTAAAATCCCACAAGGGGGATTTGTTTTGGGTTCGATTTTAGCGACTGAAGTTGGGGGATTCTTACAGTCTACAGATGCTCTGCAAATGGGGAAAGGCGAAGAGCAAAATCTGCCGATTCAGCGGCGTCGTGAGGTGGCTGACAGTGGCGATTCTTCTGGGTTTCTTTGTGGCCAATGCTCGATTGCTCTTCGTAGAGTTCGTGAGGAGTTGAATTTCAAGTGTGTGTTCGTTTTGATTCTTGGGTTCTTGGTGTTCGTCCCTGGGTTCTTTTGGCTTCTTCCTCTTCGTGAAAGAAATTCAGGGTTTGAGGCCAAAGACGACATTAAACTCAGTGGTATGTCGTTTCTCTTCCCAAATTTTCTCATCTTCAAACTTGCCAAAGAAATTTGGAAGTGTTGTGATGTTTTGAGAAGATGATTTTGCTTCAATTCAGTTCATCTACCATTTCTTATTCCACACAAATTTCTGATAGTTATTTTGATGATCCTCAGAGACCATTTTCTCAAGGTTTAATCCTGGTTTAAGGTGTTTTTTACTCTTGTCTTGTTTAAGTTTTCCTTGGAGGTTTTGATTTGTTTGATCTGTTGGTAGAAATATTTGAAAATTTGGTGCCTTAGTCCTAGTTCTGCAGAATCTGTTATCTGAGTTTAGTGTAAATTGCAACAGTTCACTTGATGCTGGTTTCATTCTTCCATATGGAATCTAGTTTTCCCAAGGGGAGAAAGTTGAACCAAAACTTTAACTATTTAGAATAGAGCAAGGGCATCATGTTCCTCCCTTACCATTTTGCTTGGGGAATCATATTCTCAGCAGAATCAGATTTGGGACAATCGGTATCGGGCGGATCGGGCATGCAGTCATCCTGGCATACTTTTGAAACTTTTTGCTCTCTAGTTTATTGGATAGCTACAAACTAGACTTTTGCTTTTGCTTCGATTTAGATTTTCTGTGATCTGTTTGCTCTTAGAATCGGATTCGCGAGGATTGGGTCCGTGTTCCTTCCCGAGATTAACGTCGAAACTCTTACTCTAAAGTTTGTTGGATAATGGATCAACTTAGATTCTCTGTGAACTAGTTACTCAGAAAGTTTTTCTCTCTTTTCCAGCTACAGTTCAGGTCTATTTTGTTCTTGAAAAGCCTGTGAAGGAGCTTCTCCCTCACATCAAGAGATTAGAGTTTGATATCAATGGTGAATTAGACATTTCTAATGTGAAGGTTTTGTGCTCTGTTACTCAGTTGGATTTGGATTTTGTAGGCAACGTCGTATATGACTAACAATCATCGTTTATGTTGCCAGGTTTCTGTTCTATCCATGCACGATGTAGGTGAGTCGAACAGGACATACGTGGTTTTTGGTATTCTTTCTGAATACATAACTGCTCCAATAAATCCAGTGTCCTTAAGTCTTGTGAGGTCGACTTTATATGACCTTTTCCTTCGCGAATCCAACCTTACTTTGACGACACCGATCTTTGGACAGCCATCTACTTTTGAAATTCTGAAGTTTCCTGGGGGGATCTCTATAATCCCGTTCCAACATGCTTCGATTTGGCAGTTTCCCCAGATCGTATTTAACTTCACTCTTAGTAACTCCATTTCTGAAGTACTTGACAATTTCGCCAAGTTCAGGAGCGAGCTGACGTTTGGATTGCGTCTCAGGCCTTACGAGGTATTGAACACTATTCGAGTTAAACTTTGCTTTCCAGTTATGGATTGAATTTATCGAATATTAGCTCTAGACCTTGAGATCATTTTATGTATCTGGAGTTGAATAATGGATGTTGGATTCCACTCTTTTTTGTCATACAGAATGTGTATTTCCAAATAACAAACAAGATTGGCTCGACGATGCAACCACCCATAATTGTTCAGGCTTCAATTTCATCAGAGTTGGGGCGCTTAACATCGCAGAGATTACAGCAGTTGGCTGCAATCATCAATGCCTCTCCCGAAAGAAATCTCGGCCTTGATTACTCTGTTTTCGGAGAAGTTAAGAGTGTGAGTTTGTCTTCTTATCTGAAGGGAACCTCTAACTCAATTCCGCCTAGTCTTTCTCCAGCTCCTGCCCCAGCACCGGGCGATCATGCAGAACCATCAAGTGCCCCACGTGCTTCAAGATCATCGTCTCACAGCCGAGTGCAACCACCTGCAAATCGTTCCCCACCTGCAACTTGCAGAGCCTTGTCTCCAGCCCCTTCTGTGGTTCCTGCACATTCCCCTCATCGACATTCAATGCCTCCAAGCTCCTATCCGGATTCTACAAGACTGATTGTTTCTCCACCTCCTGTAGGTTTTACACCATTGTTGCCCCCTGATCTCTTACCTAAGCCAAAGCCTCGTTTCGGGTTCAAACCAGGGTGGAGAAAGGAAAATCCGACTAGAGTTAAGCCTGCCCGGTCTTCTCATCCAGATCATGTAAGCTAGCTTTGATACACTCATTCTGCATCATCTGGTGGTTTTATACACAACATTTGAAGGCATGTAGCTCACACATTTCTTAGCACACACAATCAGCTCATTTATATCTGTCAATCATCTTTCTTTGCAGGATTGAAAATCTCGGTGGGTCTCGGTCACTCGTCCTCTATCTCAACATTTACATCAATCACTCACTACATAACATCTATCACACAGTCGTCTGAAGAATACAAGTAATACAAAGACATCGGATTGGATCGGATCCGATTCTCCTTTTAAGTTCTACAATGATGCCGCCTCCACAAACAAGTCTAAGAAACCGGACGTTTTAGGCCTCAAAAGAAGAAAGAAACAAGAAGATAAATTGAGTTCAGGCAGAAGAAGAGGAAGAAGAAGGTATTTCCCTCCTCTGCCTCATAAACTCTACATGGGGATGCTGTTTTCCAAAGGGAAGAAACTCCTCAAAGGCTATACATATACACACACATATATATATAATGTTTAATTGTGTTTTGAGTAACATATGAAGAGAGATTGCAGACTTCAAAGGGAACCATAATTAATTTTGTTAGCTTGAATTGTAAGTTGTGTACAGTTGTGGAAGGGGTTCCTTTTGACTGTCTGCAATTCATATACACAAATATGACAACAAACTGAATAAAAAATCATTGGAACATCCTTTTTTTTTTTGGGTAGTACTGGTTAGATTTCATGTGTTTGACAATCTTGAAATGTTTTTTTTTTCCTTCATGTTTTGAAAATAATTACATCCAGTATATTTGAAGTTTTGAAGTGAATATTACCAAACAAATAAACTAAAATTACAAATAATGCAAAATTGGTTTGAAATGTTATTGAATTGTCATTTGTTGTAGAGTATAATAATATGTATATATATTTTTAAAATTTTATTGATTGATTTTAGAGAGAAGGAGGAACGTTGAGAAGATTTTTTATTATTATTTTTTTATTTTTATAATTGGGAGTTCACGAAAGATTCGAATTTGAGACTTCTAAACCGATATGAGATCCCGAGTCCTTGTCAATTGAACTGTTCTCAGGGCATTATTGGGAAAAAAAATTAGAAATGATATTAATTGATATAGTACACAGTACCTGGTGTGGTTGAATGAATCTCAATTAGCCAGCCAAGAGTACATCCATGAATCTGCTGCAGTCCCTCCCCCACCACATAAATTTTTTAATTAAATTAAATTAAATTAATAGAAATTCTCCTTAGAGGACACAACCAATATCTTATGATTGTCTATTATTAGGATTATTTTCCCTTTTAGATTTTTAAATTTGAAGGTTTTTTTTTATCAGATTATTCTCATTTATGATCCTCTTACCACATTTATTGTGTTATTTTAATTAATTTATTTAGAATAAATATATTCATTAATGATTAATTTCATTGGAAGTTTTAAGTTAAAAATTGGATTCTTTTTATTCTTTTTTTAGAAAAAAAGTATAAAGAGGAAGTTTTGTTTTTCGTAAATAAATAAAGGAAAGAAAAAACTGCATCGGGAAATTTTCCTTTAAACAAAAATGGAAAGAAATAAATACAGAATTCAAAATCTTACGTTCAATGACGAAGAAGCTATCCCCGGAATCAGCATACCGGAGTCGGCGAGCCCAGCCACCAATTGAACGGAACGGCCACCACGAACAGATTGAGCTCCACCATCCATTCCACCTTCCGCCTCCTTCTTCGACAAAAGTCCCGGCGGCGGCGACGGCGACGGCGACGGGGATGTTCTGCAGCGTATGGCGGCAAACAGGGCAAGTATTGCGGAGCCTCAACCACGGAACAATACAATCCGAATGGTAAAAGTGCTTGCAAGGTAATTCTCTCGCTTCTCCTCCGATTCTAAATTCCTCTTTACAAATTGGACAAATCGAATCCTTCCCCAAATGGTACTCTGTAATTTTCACCCTCGGAATCGCTTCGATTCCGCAATCCTGCCTCGAATCGGGAGGCGCATCGGAACTTTCGGGGAGGGCTCGGGGTCGGGAGAATTGGAGAGTAATCCACGACTCTGGAGAAGGGCCGTCGTCGATTTCAAAACCCCAGAGAGGTAAATTCCGGCGAGAATCGGGACGTGGATCGGGGAGGCGAGAGGAATTTGGGAGAAAACCAGAAGGATCGGCGTGGAATCGAGCCCTAGCTACGTCGAGTTCGTGGCGGAGAAGCCTGGAGCAGAAGGGGCAAGAAATCGAAATTTCGAGGGGATTTCCGAAGCTGATCCTGATAATTCGTCGACAGATTCGACACCAGTAATAATGAAGAGTTGTCGTCCTGTGGACGCCGCCATTGATGGCGATCCGAGGTCGAAGGTTCTGAGACATGGGGATGGAGAATGAAGAAGAGGAGAAAACAGAGTGTTCTTATAGAATGAAGGATCGAGGAGGAGGGAGAAAGAATAGCTTGAAGATGAGTTGAAAGTTATTCCTGATAAGATAATCAACCATTATTGGTTGCAGAGAGACAAGGGAAGAGGAATTCGTGGAAGAGAGGGAAATTAATTTGGAGTAGTCCAAGAAGAAACCTCTGGATTCAAAGTTGTGTTTTGCATTGCTTTGGTTGTGAACCAGAGATTTTATGGTTTTAGCCATGGCGGAATTGGGTCTGGAAGAAGAAGAAGAAGAAGAACAGGGTACATTGATTTATGTTTCTTGTTTTAGATTTTTTTTATGGTGTTTAATTTCTAATAAATTAAGATTATGGTCTTACTTAAAAAAAAATTACATTTATCTTAATTGTCATTGGATCTATGGAGTCAACCGAACATAGGTTAAAACAACCTAGGCTAACCCGAACATAGGTTAAAACAAGGTATGCTACGTAAAGCTAAAAAGAAGTAAGGATTATTTTTAAAATATGAAAATTTAAATAGATATTTTGAAAGTTTAGTGAATAATATAAAAATTTGGAGATTAAGATATAAATTTTAAAAGAAATTTAAACCTAAATTTATCACTTGTAAAAAGATGTTCAACCAGTTTTTTTCATTGTTATGTTAGTGTAATTCATATTATGAATTTTCCTGTGCAAAATATATATATATATATGAATTTAGAAGATGTTTGGTTAATTTTTTTTCTTTTGTAATTGATGGAAAATTAGGAAACTCGCTTAAATATATTTTATAACTCAACTAACTAAGATATTATATATATCAAAGCGGGCATAGTTATGTGACATATATTTCAAACTAGGAGGTTGTGAGTTCGATCTCGAATCTCACATGTTCTACTAAAAAAAATTAAAAGATTAATTTAAAAATGATCAAATGTTCAAATTTTCAGCCTGTATTATTGAACTAAAAATAATTCTTATAATCAGAAGTTTAAATTTTCCCATCTATATTATATTTGTAACATTTTGTTTCAAAAAATAAATGAAAAAAAAAATTTGTTTAAAAAAAAATTATCATAAAAATTAACAAGAGAGATCAATACTTAGTTAAGGTGTTGGCGGTTTTTTTCTTTTTTAGTTTGCAGACCCAAACCAATTACCCACTGTCCTAATTAAACCAAATCGAATTATTTACTATCTTTTAGTTTTATACTTTAGAAAATTTAATTTGCTCGTTACTCTTTCTCGATTTATGTTACTCCCCTAATATTTTTAGACCTATTTTTGAAGACCTAGGCATTATATAATAAAATATTTAAATTTGAAGACTAAAATAGATATACAAATAGATCTTAAAAAAACCACAAGTTAAAACTCAATAATTCAAAAATATATAATTAAAGAAGAAACCTCTTTAATTTTTCTAGTTTTGTTTAAACTTTTAGATTATTGGCAAATTAATATGTTTTTAACTCCTTAGGTTAACTCATTGAGAATCTGATAGTAATATATATATATATATATATATATATATATATATATATGCTTTAATTCCTAGGTAAAAGAAATGTAATAAAGGGTCGGGTAGGAGATCCGAACTTTCTAACTATTAGGAAAAATGTAGTAATATCCCGACCAATTGAATTATATACTCGACTATCGTTCTAAAACTTTGAAACTTCTTTATACATAGCATCAAAGAAAAAACAACCTTAAAAATGAAGATTAGAAGGAGAGAGCTTTACACCTGGCTACCGCTTGGTACTTGAAGAACATTGTATCCTTAGAGGAAGCAAAGAGATGACAAAATCAACTTTTAAAATGCCTAAAACAATGAAGACATGGGTAAGAAGTATAGGAGTTTACCAAATTAGGTATTCGAAGAATAATACTCCTGCACCCATCTTTCGGCCACTCGATAAAAATTTGATCCAGTTATTTATGTTTTGAAAAATAGAAGAAATATACCTTTTTCTAGATTTCTCTCTTTAATTTGTCGAAAAATTAATGGTTGTAAAAGATATTAGTCCTAACGGGTAAGTTCCTATGTATTTTCCAACTCTAAAATTATTCTTATCCCCAGAAATATTAACCTTTATTTGAGGACAGTATAATCAATGGGTAAAAACCATTTTGTATATACTTTGCTCTTTAGTAATTTATAGAAGAAAAAAAGGTCTTTATCCCATTGAGGTATTTAGATCCAATTCTTGTTGACATTTTTTGGGTCCAAATTAAGAGGCAAACATCAATTTTCACTAGAATTCGAAAAAATATTTGACAAAAGAAATATTGGTGTAAGACTTTATAAACCTAATTAAATCAATCATGTTGTCTTAAGCTTAAAATGGACAATATTTAAACATGAAACTATGTATCACTAATTAAACTCAATTATATATCCAATAAATTACTCTTAAATTCTTCTTAAATTCTCTTATTATTTGTTTATCCCATAAGGGAATCAGAAAATGGGATCTTACACAAGAAAGGAAAGAGAGATGTTGAATGGAGAGTTAAAGCATTTGGATGGAGCAAGGTATCGTTTGGATCTTTATACCTCTAT